AGACGACGATGCTTTGTTTGTTCACATTCCCGGAAAAATCCTCCAAAACGGCAAATGAGTTATTATGAGTGCAAGGAATGTAACGTAGGACTGTGTGTAGATCCCTGTTTTCAAATTTTTCATACGAAAAGAGAATTTTAAGTAATATATTTAGTTTTCAAATGTATAATGATTCCAGATTCAGCTTGAAGGCCACCAGGTTGAGACCACCATTTTGACTCCATTAAAAAAAATAAGTCAATGGATTATATCATATATAGGGACCAGAGTAATGACCTCTATAGCCATGTCTTCATCCTAGAAACAGCACTTACACACTTTCTCAGCAACCGTTTGCAACAAACACTGTTGCGAACAATGTTATTTTGATCTAATAATGGATAAGCATGATGTCATAACACATTAATCCTCAATAAGCCAGTTCAATTTTTGTAAGGGCTAAAAGCTAGCTTTTTCTCTGTTTTCCCATCGCATTTTAAAAATTATTAAAAATACGGTATCTGCCATATACAGATCAGCATGCTGAGAAATATTTTGAAAATTACAGGGTTCTGGATGATCTGTTTCTTAAGCTTCCATTGGAATAATTCTCGCACGTATAAGCTCATGTTTCTTTAAGCTTTCTATATGCTATATCTGTAACGTGTATCTGTTCATTGTCCAACTAGAGAGTGATCTGGTCATTCACTTTTGTAAGAATGACTAGCAGAAGCTTGACAAGATCTCCACCAACTTTTACAGTCCCCTCTCTGACCAGCTTGAATATTTTTTGGAATGTCTGTAAGAATGCATATATATGCACATCTTGAAGGATGTCCAGAAATTTAGGCAATATATTAAAAGTACCTAAATTCAGGTAAAAAGTACCGAAGGCATTTTGGCATTAAAATCATGAAAATATCTCTTTCTCATCACAGTCTGCAGAAATTTGGACTTCCTTAGTGAAACCCCATGCCAGTCAGAATGTTAGGCACTTGATATCATGCCAGTCGGACAAAAACCAAACAGACTATCAAGTACCAAAGAGACTATCAAATAATGCATATACTGAAGTAACTCTGTGAGATGAGACAACTATACTGAAACTGTACATCTAGCTAGCTATATGTGTTCCCACTGAAGTATCATACAGTATTTTAAAATGTCTTATGCATCATCTGTAACCATGTTCTTAAAGACAACAGGGTTAATAACAATGTCATGTAATGAACTATGTAAAATGTTAACTTACTGCGAACTATGTAAAATGTTAACTTACTGCAAATGACAACTACATATACATGTCACACAGGAACTCAACTAAGAAGACGGGTGCCATGTACGCATGTCTCCATACACACTGGTGAAATAAATTAAGAGAATTTTCATATTTGATCTATGATCTCCAAAACTACTGGACAAATTTTAATAAAATTTGGTGTGAACATAGGTTGATATAATAAAAAAAAATAAACATTCAACAGTTATAATAGACATACATGATCATGTGTAACACTCATAGGAATCTGAAACAGCGGTTTCAGAAGACACAAAAGAAATGGTTAATAGGGTATGGTCCCCTCTTACAGCCCTCGCAGTGTGATGTCATACTGGAAATAAAGCAGTTTATCAATGCCTGTGGCACCTGCCCCACTCATTCAACAATGCTGTTTTCAGTTCTTGGATGGTTCTCGGAGGAGGGTTGTGAGTTGCAATTGCCTTCCCCAGAGCATCCCAGACATGCTCTATCGGGTTGAGGTCTGGAGACCTGGCTGGCCAATCCATCTAACGAATATCCTCACTCTCGAGAAATTCGTCGACCAGAAGAACTCTATGTGGCCTCGTGTTATCGTCCTGTAAGGTGAAATCAGGGCCCACAGCACCCCGGAAAAGGTGAAAATAGGGCTCCAAGACCTCATCCCTATACCTCACAGCAGTCAGTCTCACACCAGTCTCACTCTGTCAAAGACGTGTGGCTATCTAACATGATGCCTGCCCAGACCATTACACCACCACTGCCATAATTGTTGATTTCGCGGCCATTTTAGGGTAGGTAACGGGTCCCTGGCTCTCTCTATATGAAAGTATGGCGAGAATTAGTGTTTAGGCTAAAACGGGACTCGGTGAACAGAACAGTCGCCCATTGCTCCGTACTCCAATCACTATGCTGTCTGCACCATGCTAATCGGACTCTCCTGTCCGTACACGTCAGCGGGATGTAAACAACCAGTCTTCTGGCAAAGAAAGCTCTCTCATTCAGTCTTTTGGAAACAGTCACCCTTGTTAAACGGGTTCCTGTGGTTGAATACAGGTCCCAAGAGAGCTGAGAAGTTGTAGCCCCTCAGTTACGCCTTGCTAAAATGGACAAATAGCGATCTTCTCTGGCTGTCGTGCCTCTTGGACGACCTTGCCCAGGCTTTCTCTTGATGGATGCAGTATCCTGGAACTGTTTCCATAGGTTACACACGACGCTGGGCATTAAATTAAACTCTCCTCATATCTGGACTTGCGATTGGCCTGCCTCTAGCCTCCCCACAATTCGCCACCTCATTCCATCATTTAAACATTGGTGGTAACTCATTTTGACTATTCCGATGTGAATTTAACCGATTGCTGCAAGCCAACACCAAGAAATTTACTGAGGTGTGCTCGCGAACGTAATTCGTCTTACCCTCCACGTGCTTCTAAAGCCTGTTTCTCTGCTGGGTCTGCCTCGACACACGTGTACGCTTACGTATTTGCCGTTCAAGATTTGCATTTTTATCTAGAAGCAGTAGTTTTTTTCTTCAGTTCAGTTCTTTTTATGCAATTCGATAAAATATGCAAATTCTATTAATTTATTTCACCAGTGTATATTTGCGAGCTAAAATATAATTGGCATTCCTCACCTACTGCAATTGATTTTTTTTTTTTTTTTTTTTTTTTTTTTTTTTTTTTCTTTATTGATTTTCAGAATATGACCTACTTACTTTATTTTACGAATTTATCATTTTACCCAATTTTTAACAATCAACAAATGTTCTCTCTTTTCTAAATGCCTGTGATAGGACTTAATAATTGGGGTAGGCATTTTTCGTAGATTATTTTTGATAGTATGCTCCTTTATTTCATTATTTTTAAGACAATATATTTTGCTATGGTAACCAATGTTAAATATCAGAATAGACATACCAAAACGAAAGTAAAGGTTGAAAAATATGTTGCTTATGGCAAGATGAAATTTTACTGTAATAATACACAAGGCAACAAATGCATCAGATATGAAGAATCATGGACTTCATCCCTAAGTCAAATGGCACAGTATAAGATGAATTTACAAAAAACAGCAGCTTCAATACATCACACTCACACTTATGTAGGATAGTCCCTCATCATATACAACTTTTCCCCATTATCTGCTTAGTGCTTCAGAATTTAAATTCTTTCGTTATATCAACCGAGTTAGGTTTTACATGCTCTATAGCCAAAAAAAAATTAATTAAATAAAAAATATATATATAAAAATAAAAATTTCACAAAAATGTATGCTCACATTAACTGTTAGTAAAGGAAGAAATTATAGGCAGAATTTCTTCCTTTACTAACAAGTCTAAAATAGTCATTTTGATGTGTTCAATTAAGCAAGCTTGTGCTATCCTAATTGGTTGAGTGGTCAGCATTCCCACCTGCTGGACCTAAACTAGAATCCTGGAGAAGGCTTGGATGTCTGCATGTGTATAGTGTTTTGTGGCATGTGGGCACTGTAAATACATAGCAAGTTGAAAGTCCTCTCGAGTGGCTTTATGAAAGGGGAAGAAGGGTGGAAGGCCCTTGAAACCAATCACCACAGTATTCTCCTTCAAAACTGGCACAGAACGAGGCAAAGTCCTACTATCACTTACAAGGTGCCAAGGTCCATGCCAACAACAAACACAATCCTGTATTCCCTACCAGAATATAATTTGCAAACTAGATCTGATATCCTTTTAAAAACGTCATTAATGACAAAATTCGTTATGTCTATGGCTAAAAGAATATTTGTGAAAATAAAAACGGATTATTTAATAGATGAAAATATTTCGTTTCTTTGCGTACCACCTATTTTTCTCTTGCATACTATCATTTGAAAATCACTGATCTAGCCTCACCATCACCCCATTTATACGTGCCTCAAAGATGACAGAACAAGGTAGCCTATATAGTAAATTATTTATTTATAATTTTTTATTTGTAATGCACTGCATTTAAAATTTTATATATATTATTTATTTGTTTTAGTATTTTTATTTGATAGTATTTATGGCTCTTATTTCATGAATACCATTAAGGTTTGGTTTATTTATTTAATTATGGCAAAGCACACTAGGGCTATCTGCCTAAGGGGAGGGATGCCTTTGTGGAGGACTTTCTAAGGGAAACTGGCTCGTATACACATTACACATGAGGAAAACCACGAAAACGCCCATGCAGACAGCTTGTTTGCGGGATTCAAACCTCGGACCGAACTACCAGTGTTCAGCGACTTTACCGCTCAGCCGCTGGTGAGCCGAATACCGTTAAGAGTGTGTAGTGTGTGTAGTGAACTTCCTAACATTTTACAAACAAATTTATGATACAAATGGTCATTCAAAGCATAACTCCATCATACTCACGAGATGAGGAGCATCCTGCTACACATATATATGTTACGCTGAAACACCGAAACCTGGAGAATGTCGACTTTCAACGGTGAATGTCATCATTCATATAGTCGCTTGGTGTATGTCCGAAATACTTTCCAAATACTCTTATTTCTGACTTACACCCGTAAATGTTGACATTCACCATGTACTAATGGTGGGAATATATACATAAAGACTTTTCAATGCTCCTGTGTTTATCTTTGCTCAGGCTTGATTAGAAATACAAAACATCTGATCTCCAAAATCTCTAGTTTATAACACTGTACAAATTATTTATTTAAAAATAAACAAAAGGAAAGATTTCACATTAATTTCACTGTTCAATATATTAACACTGAATACAACTAATTGGAAACTTACATTATGATAATAACGGAAAAGAAACCAGATTCCAATGCACACCATTAGCAAAATTTCAAATGCCATTCCAATCATCCACGGAAAGAACATGCACCTATTTTCCTAAATAAAAGCAATTGTACACATAATGTATCAGAAATCATTAATCACTTAAAATACAAACATATAATTAATAATCAGGTTGGGTTAGGTTAATTCTTTATGGCAAAACATCTCAGATCAAGGGAAAGTAAAATTTAAAAGTCTGTTCACCAGAAAATACATTAAATTACTTTTATTGAAAAAAACTGGTACTTATAAGTCATACCAGGATACATTTTCTTGAAGATAATCTGGCAAAAAAAAAATATATATATACTTCCAGTGAATTTGGTAATATCGAAATCTTTGATATTTAGACTATGACAAAGCACGCTAAAGGCCTAAAGCAACAGATGTTTTTATGGAGGACTTTTCAATGGATGGAGAAAACCACAAAAAATCTCGCAACAATCCAATCCATTCGCTGAGGATTAAACACATCTTGAACAACCAGTGTTCAGCAACACTAACATTAAACCCAGTAATGGGAAATTAAGAATCACAGGAAAGTAGCATTATCAAAGAAATGCCACAGATTGCAATATTCAGCATATTTACCGTATTTGACGGCATATAAGACGCACCCTTATTTAGAAGGCCATACACAAGGGAAAAATGTCTCAATAGTCCGTGCGATAGCGCGGTACCACAATAACTTAAAATGTGCTTTTTTTTTAGTTCTCATGTTTTGTAAAAGCCAAATAAATAATCATTGAATGCAATTACCAAACATATTTTTATTAAGGAAAATTAACAAACGGCAAGCTATTTTGAACACGATATGTAAATTTCAATAATGAATAATAAATAACTGAATGAACGGCAAGCAATCAAACATAATGCAAAATAAACATAGACACCAACCTTCAGCAAACCTTGTCAGTAGTCAACGCGCGAACGACATTTTTACAACTTTGAAAATGTGCGCGTAGCGTATGTTGTAATTAACCATTCATTAATTTTAAATTAATAATTAATTGTAATCAATTTTATTACATTTAAAATCCATATACATATAAAACTGAATAATTAAAAATATACCTTGTAAATTATATGCACATTTATTAAAATTTTCTTTTAACTCCTCAAGCATTCACTAATAAAAAGTACTTCAAATCACTACTACTAATCATAGAAAAATCAGAAGCTATAATCATATCTTTATTTGGATATGATTTCTACAGGGAAATAAAATTTAAATAACCAAGAATGATACATATAAGTATTAAACAAAATACGCATAATTTATGAATGCAAAGATTTATATGTAGCATGCTTAGCAAGCTTAAGTTCTGATTTTGAGAATGTTTTTATAATACAGTTCTTCATTTGCCTGCATATTTATTTTTTTCAATCAAAACTGCTTCAAGAGTTTTAAGACCTAAATTTGGTCGAAATTCCGTCTGATTTTTTTTTAACATAGAAAAAATTCTTTCGCAAGCTGCATTTGAATGAGGTATTATTAAGACAGCAAGCATTACAGAAGGCAATACTTGTATTTAATACACTCATTCATATTTTTATTTGGCAATTTCTCCCCATGCTATATCAATACGCAAATCTACAATTTCTTTCAAATCATCTACTTGATACATGGAAAATTCAATTTCTACTTGATTAAGACATTTTTCATCAATAATGGATGGAAACGTATTCATCAAGTAAAGAACAGATGAAAATGAGACTTCAGTTCTCAGTGATGTCAGCAACTTCAGCATGTTTAGAAATGGATCACTCAGTGGAATTTATCAATTATATAACATGCAGTTACAAAAAAAAGCTCGCACAGAGTTGAAAAATGATTTCACTTTCACTTTCATTCAACTTGGCATTTTTTAAATATAGTCTTGTTTCCGCACCAATCACTAAATTTTCATTTTATTTTTGTTTACTATACTTCTGAAATGGAATAGACGTTAGAGTACATCATCTTCATTTTCTTTAGAAATTACTGATGGTTTTACGAATCTAACAAATAAATTCATTAAAAGTTCAAAAAGTTCTCTTCTCAATTTATGTATATAAGGAGCTTGTTGTTGCAAATTAATATTTACTGTTATAAACAAGGCAAAGTATTTTCAAAAATAACAAGTACAATTTGGTGGTCGGTGACTAAAATTTTTTTAATGTTTTGCAATCTCTTTCCTTCATTCTCACTGTTATCTGGTTTATCTCCAAAAAAATTTATCACAGCATCCCACTGTTCCAAATCCTTGTTAGAGATTCTAAAAGAGACAACCATCTCGTACTGCAATATTTCAAAATTTATGAGATTTTGCATTCTGTCCCAAATTTGTTGAGCAACTTTGAAGCTATGCTTCCGTTTCGAACTTTTCTCCCAAGTAAAAATATGTATCTATTATCAACATTTCAATTTCTGAGCCAATTAATTTTTTCAGTAGCTTTTTTGCAGCTATATGCAAGAGGTGGCACGGACAACCTCGGGTGATTATACTTGGTTGATGCATTTTGATAAACAATGCTACACCTTTAAACTTTCCAATCATATTAGTAGCATTATCTGACGAAAATGATGGGCAATTTTTCCATTCTAAACCTTCGCTTTTAAAGTTTTCATTTATACAATTGAAAATACCTTCTCCAGTATTATTTGGGTATTATTTGTGCACTTCTAAAAAAGAAATCAATGAATGTAATTACCACTCCTGTTTCTTTACTGTAAGTATGTTATAACCAATGGGTATAGTTTGTTATCATTACTTCCATCAGTACTTAGAGAAAATGATGTATTACCGCACACCGATTTTATAATATTGGCAACAGTACATTTTCTGCAAGCGTTTTCACAATAGCGGCAGTTTTGGTATGACCGCAGCTAATTTTTTTTGCTATGGCAGAATCCTTGAAACATTGCTTTGAAAAGCTCTTTGGAATGATCCGAAACAGAAAGCGTAGATTATGTTCAATTAAAAACGAACAAAATAGCATTCGGCTTTTATAGGATCTGTTTCAATCATCTTTTATTAAGAAATTTGTTATTTCTTTAGATTTACAGTGCCAAGTTCTATATGCTTTTGAGAAAACACATGCCGTTTACAGTCATCTTTTCCGCCATGAGCAACTGAGAAGTCTTTGTTGCATACACTGCAGTGTGCGTGATTCACAGAAATTTCGGACGCTTTAATGCATGGAAATTCTGAAGAATATGAATCTTTAAACTTCTGCTTTGATAATTTTGGCTTCTTCGTTCGAGGCAGCATTATGATTAAAAATCTTTCACCTGATTCACAGTTCACAAGACACACGCTAAGCTCTCGCCGTAAACTACACAATGCAGCCGAATGCAGCCTAAACACGCATCAGCGAGGAACCTGGGAGACAGACAAGACAGACAGACAGACAAAGTAGACAGATGTCTTGTTTTGCACCCGCTAAGTCTTTCTGCACCGATGGGCGAAAAATCAAGCATAGGTGCGAAGGAAAGGTATATAGAAAGAGGGGCAATTTCGTATTTGAGGAGAGTAAAAAGGAACTTCGTACATTTTTTACGAGTTCAAAAGGCCAGAAAGAAAAGATGGGACAAAATAAAATTTAAAATAAATGGCCCAAAAATAATAGAGGAGGAAAAAAAAAAGGGCCTATAGAAAGAAAAGGAAAAGAAGTAGAAAATATCCTAAAATACGATTGTGTCCATGAGTGTAGTTAAGGAATTCATCTGCAAAAATTAGTGTTTTTAAGAAGCAAATTTTAGCTAAGTTAAAAAAAAAAAAAAAAAAAAAAAGAATTTCTACATGGTAATGTGTATGCCCTTATCTTGAGACCTAACTACAAAAGACATATATCATCACAGAGATGTACATAATATTTTAACTAAAGTAACATTAAATATTATCGTTCCCAAAAAATTCATGTATATTTCAGAAAAACAGTAATTGACAAAATTATAAATCCATCATAAAACAGTGTGAGAGCATTTCAGCAAAATAAATTATACAGTTTATTTTTCTTAAATATTAGTTAAATATAAAATTAATTTATTAATTTAACCGTTGAATTTATTATAGCACAAGTTTAACAAATTCTGTCACTGTATTTTTATTTGCTCATAATTCTAAGTTTGAGACCTGAAAAAAAAAAAAAAAAAAGTCCGGGATCTTTGTTACAAAAATCACAATCTATACTCATCGATGATCAAGAGATCCCCATTTTTTCCTCACAAGAAATTCCTAAGCACGAAAAGGGGGGCCTCCGAAGGGTGTGAGTTGCTGATAAGAACGGACTACTGATAAGGAATGTGGCGTCTCTACGGAATAGTTACGAAGAAAAGAACCACATGACCTGCTACTATTACCAACTATTGTATAATGTTAGAATCTTATGAAAAATAATAAATAAAGAAATTTAATGACACTCTAGTGATAGAGAAACAGATATTTTATAGAGAACAGAATGTTACTTATCTGAATATTCCGTGTCAGGGCCTCTTTTGGATTTCTTGTGTTCATAGTGAACAGCTAACAAAACACCTGAAGTTTCGAAGAAGCGAAGTTTCCTTTTTCAATTTGATGAATGAGACATTGCATAGGAAAGGTGCATTTAACTATTTTAGAGAGTTGAAAACATTTTTGAAACACTTATTTAAAAAATTTCGGAGCTATGTTTAGACACTGCCTCCAGCTTTCGTGATCGCAGCGCCAGTCTCCTTTATCGGAGACAGACAATTGGGTGGAACTATTGATAAGTCGTTAACGGTTGGAGTTACTGATCTACGATTGGCTAATTCTTCAAAACTAGGAACGCACTCAACACGTGATATATGATAACACGAGTATTCAGCCAATCATCGGATGAATTAGTTGGTTCCGTTTTGCGTACTGGTTCTCCTGCTCTTGTTTCTGTAAAATCCGTAGTTTTTTCCATACTTTTCGTAGCTCGTAGTTTTTCATGAATTTCCGTAGAAACTACGGAGAATCCGTAGTAGTTGGAGTCTATGAATAAAGCAGAAACAACAAAAAAACACAGATTCAAGGAAAACGTTGCCTATCACGAAATTGGACATTAATCACTTTCAAAACCATAAAAATCCTTTTCACTATCATCATCATCGAAAACGAGAATATCGTCATCACTACTGTTTCCGTCATCGCTAGTATCACCTTCTTCGAAAAATGCATCGTCTTCTGTTCCGTCACGAGTATTACTGATTCCGCACTTCTTAATGTACTTAACAATTACTTCAGCCTTTACGTCCTCCCAAGATCTTTTCACCCACTTGCACACGTGTGAAATAGAGAGCCGCTTCATTCTACCTGAGGGTGTGAGGGCATGATGTGGCTCTCCCATTCACTTGTTCCATCATTCTCGCACTTTTTCCTTAAATGGCTTATTCACCGACACATCTAAAGGCTGCAATTGGCTAGTCAGTCCACCAGGAATGACAGCTATCTGGGTTTTTAATTCTCTCGCTTTATTCTTTATGATTTCAAAACCAAAAGAGAGGATTTTCATAAGAGTCCACCCGGTCGCCTCGCCAATACGTTCTGTAACCACAGTTTCATTCCAGCTTCGTCCATCCAAGCTTTCAGATGAACACAAATAATTATACCCGTTGGAAGTTTTTCTTTCGGATGAGTTTTTTCTTTTGAATATGAAAAATGGCGGAAGTTTTGCGCCATCGGCACACCATGTTAGAACTACCGTAATATCGGGTTTTTCATGACCTGTGGTTTTTATGGTTTTTGATTTAGACCCTTTAAATACTCACAGTCCTTGTTGGATGGTACATCAAATGTGAGTGGAATTTCATCCATATTTTTCCTATTTGACCGAGCTCAAAAGAAGTTTTTCTTGAGTGCGTGCATTTATAACAAACCTATGAAATGGCTAAGTATTTTTTCTTCATAATCTGCTGGTATTTTCTGTGCAATAGTTGTTTTTGTGTGCATTGATAAGCCTTGCCTTTTCATGAACCTGTAGCGCCAGTCCGTGAGACTCTGAAAAGTTCTGTTTCCCATGTTTTTCTGCAAATCCTTTGGCCTCATTGATTATCATTTTGGTTTAAACACTTATCCCAGATTTCCTCTTATCTATCACATTTTTATGGCATTTTCAAGTTCAAGCCAAGATGGAACTGGGCATCGAATGTTATGTTTTTGTTTTTTAGCAGTCTTCAGTTGATCTTCTTGCAGTCGTCAAGTAAATTTCTTCGGTAGGTGGTGGACCGAAATGCCTTGTTGCTGCTCTGTTTCCATGCACTTTGCCGTAGTTTAACACTCCTAGTTTATACTGAATTGTATAGCTTAATCTCTTGTTTTATGTAGTCATATTTTCCAGGGTATTTTTTTTTAAACAAATAGTTTTAAGCATCGATACCGACACGTTTATACAGAGTAGCACCGATACCGACACGTGCGTCGGCTGAGTCAAAGAAAATCTATGTAAAGAAGGAAGGCTCCATAGACGTAATGTGACCATCGAACCTGTTCGAACTTCGACATCAGCTTCGAGCTTTGGCGCTTTTTGGCGATAGATATTCCACGCATGCGCAAAATAATTATGGCAGATGTAGGAAACGTTATGTGTGTCTAGACCTTTATCCGGGCTAAAAATAGCATTCAGTATTGAAAGTTAACCTGTGTCCTTCACGTATAAGACGCAAGTACCTTTTTGAGACCAAATTTAGGAAAAAAAGTGCGTATTATATGCCATCAAATACGGTAATCATTAATAAAAAATGCATAAACACCAAATACAGTCAAAAGACTTTAATTTGGACGTCCATAATCCGGAATGATCTATAATCCGGACCTTAAAGTTACAAAGTTTCTGCGCATGCTTCAACACATAATGCGTTAACGCATGCGCACAATACCTTTACGCATGCACATATGCGTCTTGACGCAAAAGCAAAGTTTAAATTTATAAAAACATTTAGCAGAAGTAGCAATAGATGCACCCTAAGGTTATATACTGTGCAGACATTGAAGACAAAAGTTTTAAACTTAACCAATTTATTAACAATATATATAAAAATAAAAATACAATAAATAAATTTAATCACTATCAGAAACTTAAAGAGTGTTACATTATCATTGTCAGATTATACTTAGTTGACTATTCATTAAACCCCAAGGGCTTTTCCTTTACAGAATATTACACTATTAATGATACAGTAAATATTTTACCTGAACTTTGAATACTGGCATTCAATACGCGAAAAACATATCACAGATCAAAAACTACGCAGTTAATACGAGTTTCACTTCACTATAAATAAGTCCATGCTTTTTGGTCAAGAAGGCAGCTGAAAAATTAAACTAAACCTTGAGTGCACTGTAACCGGCAAAAGCCGCTCACTGTAGTTATACACGAGAGATCACAGCTGGGAAAAACATCGTCGCTAGTCCTGGAAAAACATTGAAGATGCCGCCTTCATGAAAACAGGATGCCGCCCACGGCAGTTGCTCACCGGAAATCACAGTTTGGAATCTATCGCCGCCGAACCGTAGAAACAGGATGGCCGCCTGTTTCTTGCAGAATCCAGGAAAAAAATCCTCTCGGACCGAAACCACGGTACTTATCGCTGGACGGCACGCATCGCAATATCGTCTTCAAATGGGGACTGGAATGGCGCAATGAAAACAGGAACCAGAAGGAATAAACCAGAGCGACGCGAGATACTTATACCCTGAAGTAGACATGATGTCATCTCACGGCAACCAATCAGCTATTGGCACGACTCAGCTTTCCAGATGACGTAACATCAAATCTTGTTTTTGCATCTTAATTAGGCTTTAACAGTCTGTTCTTAATATAATCAGTGGCAGTGAAAAACGAAATAGAAGTAATTGCTATATCCCTCTAAAAATAAGAACTAAACCTTAATATAAAAGTTAGAATTATTTCAAGGAAGACAGATGATGCAGAAAAAGGGTTACAATAGGTCATATTTTCAACACGTTTACACATGGGCGTTTAATGTATAACAGACAGTATAAGCTAAGCTAAAATTATCTAATTATCTATTTCAATTAATGTTGCAGATTGCGTTGTTCCTTAATCTTCTAATTGGATCCGGCTTATAATTTTTTGCAGACTGTTAGAGCAATTTTATAAAAGTAAGCTTGAACTTTCGATTATTTCAAAAAGAATTTCCGATTCTGGAGCTACCAAAGGCTCTACAAAGCGAAAGCATGTTTTGATGTCCATCAAACAAAAAGGGGAATTGCTGCAAAAAATGGATAAAGGCATATCTTTTAATTCTCTAATCATTCTGAAATATGTTTATCAATTTCACGCTGCTCTGTGGGGGGGGGAATGACGCGGGGCGCATTGAACTGGAAGTTGACCTGTCAGCACTATCCTTATTTTCAGGGCAGATGTTTTTATTTTATTTGACTTATAATTCCTTACTAAATGTAGTATTTCATCTCGATGTACTCTGTCTTTGATATGATTTAAATCAAATTCCTTGTTATTATAAATATCATGAATTTACATCAAATAGTTTTCTGGTTGCAATTTTCTAATTTCGACTATGCGTAATGTATGCTTTACGCATGCGCGCGTTGAAATAAATATTTAATAAAGTAAACAAATAAATATAAAGCTTTTTTTTGTAAATTTTGATACCCTTTAGATCATAATTGCTTTTTATTTCATAAATTACAGTTTCATATTTTTAATTTAATAATTTCTGCATGCCATCTTACCAGATTTAAACTGATGATCTATAATCCAGAAAAACCGATAATCCGGAATCGCCAAAGTCCCAACGAGTCCGGATTAAAGACTTTTGACTGTACTATTCAAGCATCAAAATTTTCAAAATTAATTCGTTTTAAATATTTTCTCCTAAAAACACATTTATATTTTCCCAATTTATATACAAATATTAAAATTACTGCTTTTCACATAAATCATATTTTCGTTCTCCTGCATAAATAAAAAGAAGAAAATTTAAACTAATATTTTAGTAATATAATTTAAATTTAAGAAAAGCTTCAATAGCAACAATTAAGTATTACATATTAACTTCATATAATATTCTAGCATACTATAACCTAATTAGAATGATTTACATTTTATTTAAACATCAAATGGAAACTAAAAAAGTACTGTAGTTTACTTCTTAAATTCAAAATCAAGCACTTTAATTAAGGTTTCCTGTGCACTTTAACATTAAGCTATGGTATCAAGAAGCACAGAGAATGGTTTCAAAACTAACATTAAAAAAACACGTTATTTAGTTAATACAGTACAAAGTCCGCAATCCGGACTCGTCGGGACTTCGGTGATTTCAAATTAGGTGTTTTTCCAGATTATAGATCATCAATTTAATTCTGGTAAGATGGCATGCAGAAATTATACAATTAAAAATATGAAACTGTAATTTATGAAATAAAGAGTAATTATAATCTAAAGGGTATCAAATTTTACAAAAAAAAAAAGCTTAATATTTGTTTACTTTATTAAGCATTTCTTTCAACGTGCGCATGCATAATGTATGTGCGCACATTCTTTACACACATGCGTAAAGCACGTAAAAAAACGTTTGTGGCTTTGAGGTCCGGATTATAGATCATTCCAGATTACGGACTTCGTATTGTATAAAACAGCCAACTTTAACAAACCAAATATTTAAGTAAAAGGTCAACTGCATATTTAAATATTACTAACAGACAAAACCTACACTCAGACTGCCCTTTTCGTCTTTTTTTTTTTTTTTTTTTTTTTTTCTTTTTGTCACATTTCTATTCCAGTTAAAATACCTGTTATATTTTCATAGATTAAAAATAAGGGTTTGCCCTTATTTTGCCCTATTTACACAGAAAAAATTTCCATTTATTTTAAAATTTATTGTTAATTTACAAAATAAAAAGTAAAGAACAAACCTTTTTTACTCCATAGATTAGCACTATGCAAACACAAAGAAATATAAAACAATATACAATTGTCAATGATCCAGCAACTGTTGCACCTAAAAGAAAACATTTTCTCTTAGTAAAGAATTCTTATCAATTTAAATTCAAAATTTTGCCATTTACAAAATTAAACATGAAAGAATTATATTGAGCATCATACAAGCAAACAAAAAAAAAATCCACTTTTCTTACTAACAAAATGCTGTGAAGTTACCATTAATATAGCACTTTAAAATAATCCTAATTATTACACCAAGTGAACAGAAATTTCTTTTCTTACGAGTAATATAAACCACATTTGCTTTAACACTCTTTAATCATTTTAAGCAGTTAACCAGAAAAAGCAAAAATTATGTTCAATGTAATCAGAGTAATCATATTTGAACCATGATTCTATCAGATAAAACTAGGATTCAAAGCTATCCTAAAGACTATTTAATCTGGAAAAGTTTTTTTGGGAGGGGGGTTAACAGGAGGCCATCTGACACTATATATGAATGTTAGAGTGAAGTCTAACTACCGACCGAAATAACAGCCTTAACAATACATACATCTACATGAAATAAGCAAGAGTTTAATTCGAAATAAATACCAGAATTCATATATAAAAACACTCAAAATGGATTTTACCATGTCAATTTCAGATTTCATACAAAGCATCAAGTTGCCAATTTCACTTAACACTGCATCTTCTCATGCAACGGATGCCTCAAAAATCCAATTAAATCCAGATGGCGGCAATTAATGTGACAAAGGAGTTTATTTTACCATCTTACAGGAGCTAAATTATGAAATCCCTACTGATTCCATCCTTAAGAAAATCAGCTTCTTCTTCAAACTCCACAGCCTGTTAATGGCCAAGGCTGTCTCTCCCAAGTTTCCCTCACCTGACCACATTCAGCGCAATAGCCTTCCATCGGTTAACTCCAGTTATCCTTAAATCCTCCTCAACATCATCTATCAATCCAGTGGGTGGGCTTCCTCTTCATCTTACTCAATTCTTAGGTTATCTTTTTGGTTGGAAATGCATCATCATATTTAAACACAAGGCCCAGCCATCTGATAAGAGATGCGTTTATGATTCTCACACTATCATTTTCACCATATTTCCTATATTTTTCCCATAATTCATGATTGTACAGAATCCTCCACATGCTATTTTGTTGCACTGATCCAAAGCTCTTTCTTAGGATTTTTCTTTCGAAAGTTGACATCAGGTCTTTCTCTGCTCAGTTAAGTATCCAACATTCACTTCCGTAAAGGGCCTTATTAAAGTTTCATACAGATTTAGTTTTTATGTTGATTAGTTTGGATTTAAGTTGATTTTTAAGGCCATAGTAACATCTATTAACCATAAATATTTTATTTTTTATTTCAATTTTTATAAAGTTTTAACTTGTGATCAAAGTGCCCAGATATTATTTAAATTATTTTACAGTTTCAAAGGTGCAGGGATTTATATTTATTTTTAACTAACAAGTTAAATTTTAATTTTCAGCCTTCCTATATAAGCCTTCATTCCCCTAATTGTCAATGCCAGAATATTTAAATTTGGTAGCGCACATGAAGGAATGCAAATTGTACCTTGAGGAGAAAGTTTAAAAACCGAGTTTTAGAAGAAAAGTTAGAGTTAGGCTATTGCCGTTACCTCTGTAGCATGAGCTTCTACTCCTGGAGTTATTGCTGGTTTACATGGCATAGCAGAATTTACTTTGCTGCCACTAGTTTCGATGTGGGTTTTAAGTAACAGGAATTTTCTGAGCTCTGTAGCTTAATTTCTACTACTTGTGAATATCTTCAAATATTTGTTTAGTTTCTCATTATTTCCTATCGCCCAATGGAGGCATAGTGTGTTAGTGTCAAGTTGACAAACTGTAAATTCTAAAGACTTTAATAAAGGGTACTTTTAACCATTTTCCTGTGTAGTTCCTACAAGAACTTACAACAGATACAATTGTCACTTAGAAGATAAGCAAGTGGTTCTCACAAAGATATAACTGTTTATCTTCAAGGGGGATAAGGCATCAGTTTCATCAGATGCAATCATAAATTTAGTTTTGTCTTCATTAATGATTAGGTCCATCTTCCTTGCTGCATTTTCAAGGGAGACAAATGCCTTGACCACAGCTTATTTTGATCGCCCAATGACAGTAGCACAGTGAAGGGGGGCAAGGGGGTGTATGATGCCCTGGGCGCCACTCACAGGAAGCGCCAAATTGTCTCCAAACAAGATTTTCCGGAAAATTTCAGTTTTTATTTTGATTGATTTCTGGAAAATGTATTTAAAATTAATAATTATTGCAATATAATTAATCATTTATTTTCTTGATAAAATGTGTAATAAATGTTTATAAGCTTGCAGTACATCAATCAATTATCTCCGTATACAAAACGTTCTTTCTAACCACCTTATTCTTCTAAAATAGATATATGTTTTTATTTTTTTAAACGAAATGCATGTATAGCTCCCGCTTTTTATTTTAAAATGATAACAAATGGTACAGTCTCATATTACAACCCTTCAACCTTGAACTACATACACTCTTAGACAAAAAAAAGACACACAACGACGCACTAAGAAGATATAAAGCAAATTGGATACAAATTGATATGCATACAGGTTTCGACGTGAAATGCAAAATTTTACATTTTGGCTGCCAATGAATGAACAGTTGTCGCTACAGTGCATCTGATCTGCTCAACTGGCAGGATATTTAAGAGAAGAAATTATGATTCTAGGTCATAAATTCCTGACGAATTTCATTCCGTGTACTCTGGTAGACAGTAACTATGCTTCGCATACAGGTGCGCGAACGATATCAGAATATGAGATATCAGATATCAGAATTTGAGAGAGGTCGTCTAGTTGGATTCAAAGAAGCTGGTTGGTCTTATAGACGAATAGCTCGACATTTGAGCAGGAGTGATGCCACTATTAGATGAAGTTGGCAGAAATGGGTGAACCATGGCCACACACAGCGTCAAAAAGGAAGCGGAGGCCTAGAGAAATTTCTATTTCAAGTCTAGAGCCCCCAAATTTCTGCAGTAGCTAGCTTGTAAGAATTATGTTAATTTTATTAACAGTTAAATTTTGAGTTAAACTTCCTTTCCTATTGTTTCTTAACTTCAACTTACCACTTCCGACCAGAATGTAGTTTTCGAATCACGTCTGAATACGTAATGAAGGAAGAGCGGTATTATAACCACAAAGTTACTCGTATTTGGTCTTGAGAGAGAGAGAATACCATCAGAGTTTCTGATTTAGCACGCGTCCGCCTTTTTAAGCTCATTCTCTCTCTCAAAGCTGTTGTTACGCTCGGCCGTATTCATAGGACCTCTACTTGATAACTTCGCAGTCAATTAGCGTTAAGGGGCCAACTAAATTAGAATCTTAATAGCTTCGGCTATATCTCTTTAGTTAAGATTAGTTTAATTATTAGTCTCAAGTTCAAGACCAAGTGTCGGCTTTATTGTACAACTCCAAGACGACGTTCTGTTACATCTTATTTGAATAATAAAGGGTTATTTTACCCTCCTATCTTGTTCTTTCCTGTCAAACAAACTCGAGCGATTATTCGCTTATCAGTTCTTAAGATTCTTCACTTTCAATGTTAACTTAGAATTACACAGTGGAGAATCCTACAAGCTTTATACAAAAATGCAACTCCCATTTCCCTATCACCAGTGCAGGATTTACATATAAGCTACACAAGCTATAGTTTACGGCCCCCAAAAAATTTAAAATATAGCATAACGGACTTATAAAGGGCCCCAGTTTTCAAATAGCTCAGGGCCTCATCAAGTTTAAATCCAGCCCTACCTATCACTAATAGTTGCAGAGATTTTCCATTTTTAATTGTATGTAATTGCCTTAATGTCTTTTTATTTCTTCAATAACTTCTCTTCCCACAACTGTCACAAATTATTTTTTATTTAGACCATATCAATGCCAAGGAAAAACTTAGCGGTTCTCAGAATCGGTTGGTTTGGTTTAGTTTATTGAGATTACGGCAAAGCACATTAGAGCTATCTGCCAAAGGGGAGGGATGCCTTCGTGGAGGACTTTCTAACGGAAACTGGCTCATATACACGTTTCACATGGGGAAAACCTCGAGAACACCCATGCAGCCAGCCCGTTCGCGGTATTTGAACCTCAGACCGAACTACCACTGTTCAGCGACTTTACCACTCGGCCGCTGGTGGGCATTCTCAGAATCAAAAAAGAAAACTAGAGCAAAAAAAAAGAAGCTCAGAACTCCAGAATAACAATAGAATTATATTTAATAAACAAATCGCAAAAAGAAAACCAGAAGTTTAGAAGGATGAAGAAATAAAATCAGATTCAAATTGTATTTGTATTGCTGCTAAATGTTAATCAATAACACATCACAAGTAAAATACTCTAAAGATGATGAAGTTGGGGGCCCAAGTACATCAGGAGTCCCAAATCCATGTCCATTACTAATAAGTACAGGAAATGTAACAGAAACACTCACTGCAATTCTGGACGTTCTGGAGTACAAAGATGTTGCTTATTCAAAATTCTCTAATAATCTTCCAATAATATCGAACCATCTTTGCACCGAAATGATTATTCGTGGATGCCGCATATTTCAAAACGAATCCAGTCTAAATGCAATAGCAACATCAACTAATCGTCTATTGCCAAAATCTTGTGTTTTTTCTGACGAATTGGTAATGAAGAAGAAGGAACTGAAATAAACCGATCTTGGTTATTATATTCAACAAAAAATAACGCAGCGTACTACTTTTGCTGTTTACTGTTTGTTACATCAAACTCCGCTACACAGTCATCTTTTGCAACAGCATCTGGCTTTAATAAATGGAGGAAAAAAGACAAATTGATTAGCCATGAAAGAAGTCAAATTCGTCAAAAATTGTTTACAACATGGAAAAAAAGATTAATTAATAAAACGGGAATCGATAAATCATTAGAAGTAAATATACAGTCTGAAAAAGAACGGTGGCGAAACATATTGCAACGGATATTAGCTTGTAAGAAGTATATGATTATGCAAATTCTTCTCTACATGGT